TAATTAAAATAAATGTTGGTCGGAAATGTCGCGTAGGTTTCCCAATCCCGACGTAGGCCAAAGTTCATCGAATAGAGGTATCTGGATTTCAATATAATTCGGGTAGTCCGTGAAAAAGCAGTTTACTGCACCTGTCTCCTGACACGCTGCCTGTTTATTTTGCCGTTCGCTCTCTGACTTCTCTGCACCCTGGCTCTCTCTGCTCTCTCGACTCTCCGCCATCTAACTTTCTGCCCGCTGAGTTTCTGGCTCCCTCTGACTCTGCGTCCGAATTCGCACCCTCTTATAACTTCGCTCCGCTTTGATGTTGCCCGTTTGGTAGCGTACGCGGGACGGTCAGCCTCTCCTTGTTGAACCGTGGTTTGCCCCAAAGACTTCCGTGGTGCCGACTGAAAGAGGCCTCTACGCTGTCCAGTGGTCTCGCTTGGATCGTTCATGCAACCGAAAAATTAAAACTTCCTCGCGCCCGCGCCGCGTACATTCTTCCGGAAGTCTCCGTTTCCACCCTTTGGTCGCTGCACGGCTCGCGTTAAAACCAACGTTACCTACAAAATAATCAATTATTGAGTTGAATCATAAGTAATTGCCATTTTTTCGCACTAATTTTATTTTTTTATTAACTCTTTGAGGCACGCTGGAATTAAAAGTGTCCCATCATTTTGATGCACCGTAATGCATGCTGGGACATTTTTAGTCCCATCTCGAAATATTGCAATAGCTGCATGTGCATAGGTTTATATTTCGTCTTATTTACGTAAAGCAGTTGGTAATATCTTTAACAAATGTTACAAATGTATTCACTTGTGTTGGCAACATTCAACATACCAATACAGGTTCATCAATTGTTGCAAGCGGAAGGTTTATTGCGACAATCTTTTTTTGTTTTCTATATTGTTACATTATGTGATACCATTATTAATAAAAATATACCAATTTGGTTTAATTTAAAACGCAATAAAATTTCTATGCAACATGGGTCTATTTTATTATTTGAAATCCTGTGCCACAAAGAGTTAAAAGAATTACAGAACACCTTAGTCTAAAACGTATTCTCCATTATTAAATACAACCTTTTCCCATTTATTTGGTAGCTCATCAATTTCTACTACAAAAAAATCAACTTGTTTTGATGAGAAAAACGTTTGAATGAATTCCTGTACACGGTTGTTGCTATTGAATTTTTAAAGAATTTTGTACGGATCGAAATAAATGGTAGTGTGTGAGGACTAGGTCCGGTGAGTAAGGAGGACGAGGTAACACGGTCTATTCTAGTTTCAAAATTGTTTCCTGGGTGACTTTTGTCCTATTTGGTCTAGCGTTGTCATGCAAAAGTGTGACGCCTGTGGCGTCGTCTCCCACGTTTGCCACCAGAGGGGTTGCGCTCTCACAAGCGCTCGACCGACCCCACGGTTGCTATACAGGGTGTTCGGCCACCCCTAAGGAAAATTTTAATGGGAGATTTTAGAGGCCAAAATAAGACGAAAATCAAGAATATCAATTTAAATTAAAAAATTTTAAATCATTCTGAAAAAATTATTTTTGGTTGCAGAGGTCAATTACAATCATTTTTATGTGAATAGACATACCTGCGGATTCCTACGCACTTTCGAGAAAAAAATTCTTTTCCGAAAATATAATGTTGTAACACGAGATATTAATTTAATATAGAAATAAGAACAACGACGCGGCTTTCGCCGAAAAGCCGCTATACCGCGCCCTTAGTTTAGTTACGTTAAAAACGTCGGCGAAGCGTTCGTCAAGAAGCCAGGTCAACGCTAAAAATAGATGGGTCCTGGCCAATCAACAACGGCCAGGCCCGCGCTAGCGCAGGTCGCCCGGGTATAAAAGCGGGCCCTTCGGCCCATGTTAGTCAGTTGCCACAGAGGTTTTTGAAACTTTTCCCTCTAACTTTATTCATGAAATCTAAGTAGATAAAACTCTACACAACAAATTCCACAACTACACTAATCTAACATGCTAAATGCAGGTTATAGGGTGTAAAGCCCACGGTACTGCAAGCATACAGTGAGAAACTCCAAAACATGTTAGTCAGTCACTTCCCGACTACGCCAGAGATACCTCCACAGTGCCGGCTCCTACGCGGGTGTGCCAAGCTGTAGGAACCCTCTAAAGTAATCGTCGGGTAAACTCGCCAGGGGCCTTGACTCCCCACACCGTCGAAGCGGTCCTAAGAGGTACGGTAATGCGGCACCTACGCGGAGCGTCGCCACCTACCCTTAGCATCTCGCTCACGGTCAGTCTACCTTAGGAGCTCTCCGACTCCGGACATCGACGACTCCTTGTACGCCTGGGCATTGAACAATAAACAATCCGTCCTTCTCAGGACTCGACTCCAAAAAAAGCCGCTGCAGTCACTACAAACCCTCACCCTCGCACCCATCCTACCTTGGTACCACGAGACCCCGTCTCCTTCGGTACCACACTCCTTCATTCCCCGAACTACGGTCCGCCCCCCCCCTCCCCCCTTACAATGTGAGGTTAGAAATGTTGCCCTGAAATTTCATCCGTATGTTTAAAACACCATAACTTCCGAATGGATTGGAGGATTTTAAGGTTTCAAAAGGCAAATAACGCGTATTTTAGTGAAGAATATGTGAAGATTCTAAAAATATTGAAAAAGTTGTTCCTTAACACCGTAAAGTTACAAAAGCCCCCTAAAACTGCTCCAATTTTAAAACGGCCATAACTCCTGCAATAGTAAAGGTATCTTATTGAAATTTTGTTCTAAAGCAGAGCCCATGGGTACCTACAAAAAAGTATTAGACAACTTTTCTGTAGAATGTCAAACAAATTTATTAAAAATCAAAAACAAATTTTTAAGAAAAATCGATAGGTGCCTAAATTTTTCAGGGGGAAAAAAAATTTCAAATCATTTTGGAAAAATTATTTTCGATTGCAGGGGTCAATTACAATCATTTTTGGTCATGAGACATACCCTCGAAATCCTACCCACTTTCGAGAAAAAAATTCGAGGATGTGTGAAATTTTTCGAAAAAATTAAACAAGTTAAATTTGTGCTGGAAAAATTATTTTCGGTTGCGAGGGTCAATTACAATAATTTTTGGTGAATAAAACTACCTCCGAAATTCTACACACTTTCTAGAAAAAAATTCAGTACGGGCGGAACTTCAATCATTAATAACTTTTTAACGAAGCCTCCATCAACAAATTAGTATTCTTGATTTTTGTCTTATTTTGGCCTCTAGAATCTCCCATTAAAATTTTTCCCAGAGGTGGCCGAACACCCTGTACAGGGTGTCCACGCTAAAGTGTGACCCATCTTGGCTTGAGTGACAAGTCATTAAAGCGGTCCTATTGTTGTGCTGTTTGACTCCGCCTGTTGAATCCGATAGCACGGGTCTAGCTCGGAACGGCAGGCCCGAAAAGTAAGAAACATGGAAAGTATTGTTCATCACGGTCCAAGTTTTCCGCATCGAGGATGGAGTCGTTAATAATTTAGATGGTTAATACTTTCCATGTTTCTTACTTTTCGGGCCTGCCGTTCTGAGCTAGACCCTTGCTATCGGTTTCAACAGGCGGAGTCAAACAACGCAACAATAGGACTGCTTTTATGTCTTGTCATTCAAGCCGAGACGTCTCCGCTGAAAATCAGTAAACTTCTAAGCGTTATATCTTGAAAACTAATAAAAATCGGGTGAATAAATTGCAGCATAATGAATTCGTTTTGAAAAGCACTATTGCATGATCAAAAAAAAATATATAGTTCCATTTAAAAAACGAAACTTCACCATCATATCTTTTATATTAATAACATAAACAAAATTTTCGTTTACGCCAAAATAGAGATGCTATTTTATCCTGCAATTTACATGTAAACAATTTTTTCATATCATCAATAGTTATTGAAGTATCACGACTGTCACACTTTAGCGTGGACACCCTGTACTATACAGCGATTACTTGATGGCTAGGCACGCCGATTGGCCGTAGCTTAATAGCGACGCCTGCTCTCACACGCATTATCATTATTGGCCGAGTCGCTCACAACTACAATTCCATCGCGTGACAAAGGACGCGAACGAAACGTATAGGAACAGAGTAGGATAGGTCAAGACTGAGAGGTATTGGCGCAACCGTACGCTCAAAATACTAGCCATGAATAGAACAAAAGTGTATCTCTTGTGGTTATGGAGACCCTACTACTATGTAGCGTGGCGTCAGAGCGGGCCACTATGGTGGAAATAAGGCGGCGCGTAGACCTTCTCTCCTTGCCCGTGCCCCGTTTAGTTTGTTGGTGCCTAGCCAACAAGTCATCTCTGGATAGTCCATATGTATACACTCCTCGACCGACTTCCCAATATCCCAGTCTAAGGCAGGATCTGCTAGAAAGCCTTACTGATGAGTCCACTAGCAGGCCCGGACGAAACGCGCCCCCTCCTTTCCTTTTCTATCCTCCTACGAATCTTCTCAGAGTTCCTACCCGCAGAAGAGCAGCGCCACACGCCCTTACAGTTGATAAGTGCTGGTCGTTCCTTTTGCAATTTTTCTTGGACTCTGTTTAATTGTTCGTTGTACAAGGCTGCTGTAACTGTCTCATTACGGTTTAGTAACTTATAATAGATTATTCCTCTGAGTTACTGACTGCTATTTCTGAACTGATCAACCTTCTAAAATAAGGCAAGCACGACGGCGAAAACGGAACTATAGGTCATTTGGAATTCCCAAAACAGTTTATGATCCACTACCTGAACCAGCAATTACTTATGACTCAACCAATAATTTAGTAAATATCTGAAAATTGAATAAGAACGAAATATCTAACATGTTCGAAAGCTTCGGAAGGTCATCGATCGAACCTAACGGTCACCGCACCTTGCATTATTCCGTTATTGATAATCGTTAATCACTGATTACGATATGCGATAATAATGATTAATTTACAATTCACCCGACTTCGTTGTTTACCAAAATGGTCAGCGTTTCATTCGTACGCTGAACAGGGATCGTTTCTGTTTCAGCACCATTGTCGTAATTGCGGTAAAATCTTCTGCAGCAATTGCAGCGGCAACGTCATACTCCTGCCGAACGCGTCGAGGCCCGTACGCGCTTGCGACGAGTGTTACGTGCTCGAATTCGGCCGAATCTAACGCCTGGTCGCGCCTCGATCAGCCAGATAGCGTGAAACGTGTTCGTCCTGGATGGAAAGTTCGCCGAAATGACGAGAAGAAAAGCAGAAGAAAAGATCTGACTGTCCCTCGTTTTCTTTCTTACAACTAGACGCCCGCGACGTATTCTCGAACGATCGTTCCCTCGGACGGACTTTATTCGACGCCGTTCATTTTCAATTCGACTCACGGCGGTCGTCTGCAAAAAGGGATCGACGCGGACGTTGCATCGTTTCGCGTCGAATTCCTTTCATCGCAATATCATCGCGACGTTTTGTACGATTTACTTGACGTTCCGCGTAAAACACGGTTTGCCCGATTTCTATCCGTGAAAGGCGTCCTTTGCGAAGAAGGAATCTTCGCGATTCGATGGATCGATCCAATGTTGAAAGCAATCCACTTTGTCCGTTCCCGAGCACAATCTTTATGATTTGTTTTTTCCTCCATCGCGAATTTCGCGAGCATGATCTGAACCGATCGAGGGACACGACGTTGTTAAGTTTCGTAGATTTAGATTATTTTCGCCGTTTGTTTACTTCGGCAATTTTTAACGAGAAATTTTTACCGAGTCGCGTACGCACGGATCGGACGTGTATTTATTATTGATGTGGATCGGAGTCGCGAAACCTCGAAACTGCGGTTACGCTTATGCGCTGTAGCTCTTTGAAACGCGTGCCTGTACAATGGTATTTTTAAGAGATTCTGTAGCGTTGAAAAGATTTTATGCGAATAAAAGGCTGGTCTTATATATCTTAGTTTTCTCTAATTATTTATCCTCTCTTTTAATTCCGTATTCTGTAAATTCGAGGGATAAGAACGAAGAGATTTTAGAGGGGTTTATATTATAAAAGATTATCATAAGTCGGCGAAAGTTACATTTAATCCTATATGATTTTTCTCTATCTGGGGGAATATCACTGATAAGAATCGTCAACCTTGTAGAAATTTTCCAAAACGAGTATCTTGTAAATTATATTTTTCTTAAAACTGTGGATATTCTGTTTATTGTATTTTTCGTTATGTTTGTCGGTCTAATTTTGTTAAACATATTTTGGATGTTATTCTGTTCGAAGGAGGACGAGTTAAACGACCTACATGCGTTAGGTTAGTTTAAGATAGGACGTGCACCCGACATATCTCGGAAACTATGAGATTTAGGGTATATTATATCGCCTGGAATATTAAGAAACAGTAAACAGTGCTCCAGTTTTGCTGCAGAAGAATATCTTAATACATACATATCGTGTGCACGTTTTATCGTCTTGAATATTACGAAATAGTAAACGGTGCCCTAACTCTGCTGTAAAAGTCGAACATCCAAATACATCTTCGTATTTTTTATTCTCAGAATTCATTACTTGATGGAATTCTGCTGTAAACGTTCACCGATTCCATTTACAGAAATGCATTCGATCGTGAAAACTTCGAGGAAATGTATAATAACAAAACATATACTATAACAAGCTTGTAGATTTTTGTTTCAGATTCTGGTAAAATTTTTACCTTGTAGAACATCCGGTATGTACCGTTGCAATTATTTCTATATGGAATATAGTTGTGTGAAACGAATGATCCCTGACCAGTTTTCACGCAACGTCTGCAGAAGGGGCAACAAGATGACGGTCAGTAATTAATACTGTATTTTTAGATTAAGTTTATTTTTATTCAAAATATACGTATACCTATATACGAAATATATGTACACAATAAAGATGTATAATAACAACACTAAATCTATCAGGTAATTAGAATCGAACGGGGAAAAGAAATAACAAATATAGGTATAATACTGTTAGGTACAAAGACGAAGTATAATTATACAGCGTGTTCGGTCACCCCTGGGCAAAATTTTAATGGGAACTTCTAGAGGCCAAAATAACACGAAAATCAAAAATATCAAATTTCTTGATTGAGGCTTCGTTAAAAAGTTATTACAAAATTAAATTAAAAAATTTCAAATCATTCTGAAAAAATTATTTTTGTTTGTGGGGGTGAATTACAATCATTTTTGATGAATGGATATACCCCTGAATTCCTACGCGTGAGAAAAAAATTCCTTACCGAAAATATAATGTCTGAACAAATATGAAATATTCTACTGAAATTTCATGTGTATGTTTAAAACATCATAACTCTTGGACGGATTGAAGTATATTAATGTTTCAAAATGGAAACAACGCGTATGTTGGTGAAGAGTATGTAGAAATTCAAAGAATGTTCGAAAAGTTGTTGCTTAACCCCGTAAAGTGAGAACAACCTCATAAAAAATGGTCCCATTTTGTAACGACCATAACTCCTACAATAGTAAAGGTATCTCATTGAAATTTAGTCTAGAAGTAGAGCTCATGGATACTTACAAAAAAGTATTAGACAACTTTTCTGTACAGCGTCAAACAAAATCACTGAAAATCGACAGGGGGTAGGTGCCTAAATTTTTCGGCGAAAATGAAAAGTTTCTAATCATGCTGGAAAAATTATTTTTGGTTGCAGGGATCAATTACAATCATTTTTGGTCAATAGACATACCCTCGAAGTCCTACTCACTTTCGAGATCAAAATTTGAGTAGGTGCCTAAATTTTTCGGCTAAAATAAAAAATTTTAAATCGTCCTAAAAAAATTATTTTTGGTTGCAGGGGTCAATTGCAATAATTTTTGGTGGGTACACGTATCCTCAAAATCCTACGCGCTTTCGAGAAAAAAATTCATTACCGAAAATATAATGTGTGGTCAGAAATGTTGCCCTGAAATTTCATGCGTATGTTTAAAATGTCATAACTCCTGAACGGATTGAAGGATTATAGTGTTTCAAAATGCAATCGACGCGTATTTTGACGAGGTATATGTAGAAATTCCAAAACTATTTGAAAAGTTGTTCCTTAAACCCGTAAAGTTCGAAAAACCCCATCAAAATGGTCCAATTTTGAAATGACCATAACTCCTACAATAGTCAATGGATTTCATTGAAATTTAGTCTGGAAGTAGAACTCATGGACACCTACAAAAAGTATTAGATAACATTTCCGTACAGCATCAAACAGATTTATTAAAACTCAAAAACGAATTTTTAAGAATAATTGACGGGGGTGCAGAAATTGTTTAGCAAAACTTAAATGGTTCAAATCATTCTGAAAAAATTATGTTTGGTTGTGAGGGTCAATTACAATCATTTTTTGTGAATAGACATATCCCTGAAAGTTAGAAATGTTGCTCTGAGATTTCATGCGTATATTTAAAAAATCATAACCTCTGATTTAACCATTGAAGGATTTTAATTATCCAAATTTCGAACAATGAAAAAATACGTTGGATATAATGTCTACTCATATTCATCGTCTGTGATGAGAACTATCGCGCGTACGCAGTTGTTCACAGATTGGCGTTCTATAGGCGGAACTTTAAAGGTTAATAACTGTTTAACGAAGCCTCTATCAATAAATTGGTATTCTTGATTTTTGTCTTATTTTGGTCTCTAGAATCTCCCATTGAAATTTTTCCAGGCATGGCTGAATATCCTGTATATGGAACAGAATAGTTTAATCGAAATCGGTTTGACAGAGTTTGAGCTGACCCACATGAATACACAGTTAGTTATTTGGTTTAAGTCGTCTAAATCGAAATCACAATTACACAGTACAAATTTTATTTACATGGACGAACGCTATGAAACGAAAAAAAGTTAGAAATCTTGTTTCGCGGCGTGGAGCCCGAAAACCCAAAGGATCATCTTCGAATAGTGTAACGAAGCAGTGGAACTAAATTCGTGGATTATCGGATGCATTCGCGAATCGTGATGTGTAACGACACACCTGTTAAGAACATCCTGGTATAGTGTTATTGACTTAATTCTGGGGTTAATGGTAATAATAATAATTGAGTTAGTGTGGGATAGAGACTAATGTACGTGTTTGAGAGTCGAAGCGAATGCAGAGCTGTTTAATCATTATTATCTCATACGGTAGCGCGAAAGAACGAATTATTTGAGAAAAGTAATGGAAGAACGGGGGTTCCAAGCACACGGAAACCTTGCCCGCAGAGAACGGCGACCATAATGTGCAATCTACCTGCCGAACGTAAATTCGTTTCTCACAGCCGCATACATGCTCCCTCTAATCTGTGAAAGGAGAACCGCACGCCATTCCATCGACTCGCCGACGGTGGTGGAAAAGCAGTAAAACAGTCCCTGACCACCTTCCACGATGCTCTTATCCTTTCTAGACGTTAACAATGCCTGCCACCGCGAGATCTTACGATGTATCTACGAACAAGGGCGTATATATGTATACATATATATACAGGGTGTCCTATTTTCGTCAGTCAAGTCGAAAGTCTTTCGAACTAGGTAAATAGTAAAATTCCACCCTTAAAAAGTTGTTTGATTTTGAGGGGAATCTGGATCTATCGAAGCTTAGGACGACTTATTCTTATGAGATTAGTCGAACTTGGGTACATCCACTGTAAAATATTTTGTTAATAGGAAAAGTGCTTCGAAGATGGTCACTGCACGATCGATTAATAAATAAATTTTAATGGCAGTCAAATATATGAAAAATGTTATATTTTTGTGAATATGGTCTTTTTTAACTTTAAAATATATTAAATTGCAGGTCGTTGGTCTGATCCTGAAAAGGCTTAGAGAGCGTTTAAGAATCTGCGACACCACTTCAGAAAGTGAAACCGACCTTAAAAATTGCTTCCAACCCCTTAGTAGCAACCTCTGCACTACAAGGAGTCATAAAGAATGCCTTCGAGTGAAGTTCACGATGTAAGAGGAATCCATCTTTTCGCTTATAAAATGCATTTCCACGATCATAATTTAAATAATCATTAGTTTACAAAATCTTCGACAATAGCGAAATAATTAAAAAATTTCTACATTTTTTAGTCATTGGGAGATTATTTGACACGGTCGTTAGTCGATTATTCGTATGAAATTAAATTTCTATAAGTATGTTTTGATGGTTGAAATTTCAGTCTACGTATATAAAATTCAAAAGAGCGAATTCGAAGTGGCAGATTTAGAAGCAGTAGATCTAGAAACATTACACTTTTTTACAATCTAATCTTCTTCATTTAATTTGAAATGTAACTTTCTCGTCACCACAAATGACATATTTGATTAAGGTGCAAAGACCTTCGAGGATTCTCTTAGAATCAATGTTCCGTTTTAGCTCGCTCTAGCTCATGATTTCGTACTAGATAAGCCAATGACCAGTCGTACAAACACATTCTTTGGCTGAACAGTCGAAATTCTCTTCCATAGTTCGATGCAACGATCGAAGGGTTGAAGCTATCCCGGAGACGTTTCGTCGAAGAGGCTCTGAAAATGTTGCTTTTTTCCGGAGATTCTCGGCTGGATCGACCGTAATGGACCACCCTGTATAGCTGTGCATGTAGTTATATTCTATAGGTATGTAAGGGAGTTATCGGTGTCGTGTTACACGTGTGCTCGCGGTGCTTGCCGGCTGACTGTGGTAAGTTCCGAAGGGTGGTTTCGAGCCGCGGCCGTCCGTGTAGGCCAACTTGTCGGCTATCTACGACTTTCGAAAGCTCGTTAGCCACGAGCGTGCACGCTTAA